AGTCTGCTTCTCCCTCTGACCCTCCTCCCTCTCATGCTCTCTGTCTCTCATTCTCTCTCTCTCAAATAAATAAATAAAATCTTAAAAAAAAAAAAAAAAAAAGGAATTACGAGGTCCTAAGTTTGGAGTTACTCTCTGGAAGGGCCTGGATATCATGTGGAGGCACCTAAACGAGACCTGACCTCCAAGGTGATGGGGACACACGTGCTGAGTTTTTGAGCAGGCAGGTAATATGCTCAAAGCGATGCTGTGAGGTAAACCCAGCAGCAGCACGGTTTCAGACGGATCTGAGGGGAGAGAGCAAGGAAGCGAGGAGAGCCGAGCCAGGAGGTCACTGTGAGCCGGGCACGAGGTCGTAAGGACGAGGGTGCTGGTGGTGCAAGAGAAATGGAAGGTGGGCCTGAAGGAAGGGCGGCTAGGTGCCTGCTAGAGGTGAGACTGGAGAGGAGATGACCCCCAGCTAGCGAGGTCCCAGCTCTGGATAAAAGAATGACAGACAGAACTGATGAAAAAAACAAAGTCTAGAATGAAGAGATGGTTCTCTCCAACTCCTCTCTGCTAGATACTGACAGAAGACTGACCGGAAAGTGTTTTGATGAGCAGCTCCATTTTAGACACTTTGTACCTGAAGTGACAGCAGGATCATCAATCATCTCAGATGAGTCACTTAGGAGGTAACTAGTCTGAGATGTGAGACTAGTGTTTCAGAGATGGGACTAGAGATATAGATTAGAGGGTAATACCAACCCAGAGGTGACAACTGAAGCCATGAGTGTGGTTATGATGTCTGTGGGAGATGGCAGAGAGAACAGAGAACTTAAGTGGAACCTCAGAGAATGTCATGACTTAAGACACAGGAAACTAGGAAGTTCCAAGAGGCAGAGGAATATTAAGAATACAGGAGAAAATCAGACTGCTGTGGTCCCTCGGAAGTAAAGGGAAGAGTAAACAAAAAGCGGGTGGCCAACAGCTATGGACACCAGAAAGATGAAGGAAAACAAAGACTAAGGAAAGGCTACACAGTAAACTAAAGAGGGACAGGCTATCCGCTTCGCATGTCTGTGGGCTCAAAGGAAAGGCTGAAAGAGGCTCAGAGAAAAGTGATAGGAGAATGTGGTCCCATAAGAGGGAAAAGGGGTCCAAGTGGGCGCTTAGTTTAGAGAAGGAAGAAAGAAGCCTGGCAATTTAGATGAGCAATAAGTATTTCTTGAAAGAATGATGTTAGGATGGATATGGATATAGACTTATTTCATGGGAAAAGTACCTGAACTATCAAGTTTCAGTCACATACTAACAGGAACTAGTGTGAATAACTTAAATACAAACACAGATAATCTCCAAATGCTATCTTAAGTAATTTCAACATCACTTTTAAAAAAAAGCTAATCAAGGTTAAAAAAAAAACAAACCCAAAAACCCTGACATTTGAATTTCTCTGCAACCATCAAGGTAGCAGAAAGGTGGAACAGAAAGAAAATGGACTTGTAGTGGGCCAGGCTCCAGTCTAGCTCTGCAGCTTAAAATTTGGGGCAGGTGCCAACCTGTCTGAGCCTCGCTCCCAGCTCCACCTGTCCCCACAGGCTGTTCTGAGTGTTATGAGAACAAATGAAGGAAAACTGTACAGAAATGCTGCAAGAAATGTCAACATTCATTCATTCGTTTAATCAGCACTCAAAAAACAATAACTGGGCATTTATGATGTGCAAGCAGGCAGGTACTAACAAGCACGGACAGGAAAATGAATCAGCCCCCGCCCCTAGCACCCTGCAGGAGAAAGATGACGAAGAGGCCGCTTTCGCGGATTAAGTGATCAAAAGGCACGTAAAGCAGGGAAAAAGTCCCTTAGTAGAGGAGATTCGGCTATTTTTTAAAAAACGGTACTGGAGCCAGGAAAAATACCTCTGCTGCCTTGGTTCACATAAACCCACCTCAGCTATCAACAGCAAAGTGTCTTCTTTGAAGCTGAACCCTTTCATTTTATCTTCAATTTCCTGCTGAGTCCTTAAGTTCCTCTCCAAAGCAAATGATGTTTGCTGAGGCTGGGTGAGCTGAAGCAAGAGCCTGAAAAACAGTAAGTCCCAACGTGTGTGCAACAGGGAAGGGAAAGCAGTGAGGAAATGTTCGCAGAGAGCACAGGTATTGGGCTGGATGGGAATCCAACTAGGCTCAAGGAAGGTACTCACCTTCATTTGAATCCCTAAAGCTTCCCACTTGAGCAAATTGAGCAAACTGCATTGGAGAGTCATCTTTTCTAAAATTCATAGACCAACGCTTCTCAAAGAAATCTTTAGGGAGAAAAACCTCAAAAGGGCTTCCTGTAGAAGTCAAGTGATTGAAAGCACAAACAATTTGGAGTGAAAAGGACAAGCTTCCCAATCAAAGGCTCCTCCTCACAAAATGTCGGGATGTGCTCCTTTGAAGTCAGTGTTCTGTGACCCCTGAAATCCCCCCGAACCCACAGCCACTCGACCTCAAGGACTAATTAGATCCTCCAGCATACTTTAATTACCAGAAGCAGGGTCAAATCTTTGACAAGCCTCTGATGACCTCCTTGGACTGCCTCACCACTAACTTCCCATCATAAGCATAACCTGGTCTTCTCTTTCCTCCTCCCTCCTGTCCTTGCCACATGGCTCCTTCTCTTCATTGTTTTTTTTAAAGTACTGAATGTGGGGACGCCTGGGTGGCTCAGTCTGTTGAGCAGCCAATTCTTGATTTCGGCTCAGGTCATGATCTCGGGGTGGTGAGATCGAGCCCCGCATCGGGCTCTGTGCTCAGCAGGGAGTCTGCTTGAGATTCATTCCTCTCCCTCGGCCCCTCTCCAGGCTCCTGCACACTCACACGTTCGCGGGCGCGCTCTCTCTCTCTCTCTAATAAAAAAATAAATCTTCAAAAAAATATTGAATGTGTAGATTTTCCAGTTTCCCTCAGGCCTCACTGGTCCCTATTGCTATTCCCACTAGCACTCAGCTCTCCTGTTCACTCATTTCATGTCTTGAATGGACCACTCACTACTCTAGGTATTGGGAGATACTGGTAGGCAAAACAGCTTCCTGCTTCATGGAATGGAAGGAGAGAGATCACAAATAAGATGATTTCAGGTAGTGAGGAGTGCTGTGCAAAAAAAAAAAAAAAAAATCCAGGCAGGGTGGATAAAGTATCTGCCTCAGGTGGAGCAGTGAAGGAAGGCTTTTCTGAGTTACCACTCAAGCTAAGACCAAATGATGAGCCAGCCACCACAATATCTGGGGGAAGAAGGCCCTGACACATGAATTAGCTTAATGTGTTTGAAAATCATGAAGATCACTGTGGCTGAAACAGAGAGACAAAAAACTGTAGTAAATGAGAAAGGTCAACATCTCGCAGGCCATGGAAAGAAGCAGGGCATTTATGTTCGGGCAATGGGAAGTCACCGGAGAGTCTGGTAGGAGAGCATGCTCTGACCCACATTCCCCCGACTCACTCAAACCTTCTTATGTTACCTACCTGACCTCTGGAAGCATGTACATTTGTGACCCCTTTTATCTTTGATGTCCTTGCTTTCCCCTCTTGCTCCTGAAAGTACTTGAAAATATAGCTTACACTTGCCTCTTCTGTCTCATGTTCATTCAGCCCTCTGCCCTATGCCTTGTCACCCACTGCTACTCAAACTGCCTTCTCAAGGGCTGCAAATGACCTCCTCACTTTCAAATCCTCTCCTCAGAGTCGATCCTACCTGACTTCTCACCATCATCTGGTTGCTCATCTCCTTCCTGAAACTCCTTCATCTCCAGCTCCCTTCTTCTGAGCTCAACTCGTCCTAGGGAAAAGCTCCAACGGGATGTCCTATAGGCACTTGAATCTCAGCACATTAAACCAAAATCTTTACTTTCACCCGAAGTCTGCTCTGCTCCTCCTCCTGTGTGTCCTGTCTCCTCAAAAGGTGCCACCATCCACCCAAGGTAGCTCTTGACTCGTCCTGGACTCTCCCCTCCCTGTCTTTCCCACACCCTCAGCTGGTCACCAGGTTCCGTCTATCCCATCCTGCAGTGATGTCCATGTCCTCGTTTTATTACCAGTGCACTATCCTAGGTCAGATCCTCATCGACACCCACCGATGACTCTACAGCTCCTTCACTGGTGTCTCGGGATCCCAACTCCTTCCTCCAAAATCCCCTCCCAGCCACCAGATCTCTCTCTCGAAATCACAGCTCTTGTCACACCGCTTGGACATTTAAAACCTTCAAATACTATTCAGGCCTTCAGCATAAGGACCAAATCCTTCAAGATGACATTTAACATCTTAGGCTAACAGAAGTACAGCCTTTACTGAATGCTGACCGTGTACTGGGCACTACACCAAGAGCTCCGACACGTGAATTCGAACCACCCCATGGACAAGGCATTTCCCCCTTTCTCCATGAAGATGAAGATGAAGGAAACAGAGAGCAGAGAGATTAAGTAATTTGTGCAAGGCCAGACCACTAGCAAGGGGAGGGGCCACACCCGTTCACTCAGTAACAATCTATTAGGTTGCTTACGGTGAGCCCTGACTCCCCCACCCCCCCACCGTGTCATCCTGGATCGCGGTCTGCGGCCCCCTCTCGGCTCCACCATCAAGGCTGCTGTCACCGCACCTGCTCCGGGACGACCCTACGCCCCAGCGGCCCTTCCATCCGCAGGCTGTGCTTTCCTCCACTTTACCTAGCCTGCCTCTTCTCATCTGGGGAATGGTCCAGAGTCAGCAAGATGCCCCGGAAAGCACACAAGCTGTGGACTCAGAGGCCGGGGTCCCAGTCATGGCAGCATTTCATGGCTGTGCCACTTTGGGCGTAATGCTGAGTTAGTTCCCTGGTCTCTACGAGAGGGTGCCAACGACCGCCCCACGGAGGGGGAGGATTAAAATGAAACAACGTATACAAAGCTCCAGTACCCATTTCTCTCCATAGCTGATGAAGGTTCCCAGAAACATCTGGCAGAAGCGTCGCTCCCCCAGTAAAGCTCTCTTCTTCCCGCTACAGTGGACAGCTCCCGTAGGGGTCTGCTCCCGCTACCAATACCCCCCGTTAGTGCCCGGGCCACCTGTCACTGACCACACGTGTACTGTCCTCAGCACTCTGAGCGGTGTAAGGAAAGGGCCTTTAAAAAAAAAAAAAAAAAAAAAAAGACTTCCTTATTTTGAGAGAGAGAGAGAGCATGAGCGGGGGGAGGGGCAGAGGGAGAGAGAGAATCCTCAAGCCGACTCCCTGCTGAGCGGGGAGCCCGACTCAGGGCTTGATCCCATGACCCAGAGATCATGACCCAAGCCAAAACCAAGAGCCAATGCTCAACCAACTGAGCCACCCAGGCGCCGCTAAAAGGGCGTCTTTTTAAGAATCTTTATGATCCCAGCACCCAGCATGTGCCCAGCATACCACTGGTTCAATGTACTTCTGAATCAAAGTAATGTAGTCAACACTAAACATTTGCTGAATAAAGTTTACAATTTGCTTCATACATAGCATTTCTCAGTAAGCCTCACTGTTAATATTTCTAGAATTCTCCAGAGTTAAAAACAGTAACAACAACAACACTCTTTTGGCATCACCTGAGACCTAAGAGAATTTGTTTCTCTCATAAAGTATAGAATTTGGTCAAGTGTATGTTCCCTTTTCCCTTAAACTCTTATAACTATGGATTTAAAGTGTTTGGAGTCCCTAAATCATGGGAATTCTCTGTAGAATGAGTTAAACATTGTTTATTCATATTGTCAATAGTGATCCAAACACAAGAGCCAATTTTTGTCTTTAGTAGATCTCTGTGGAACCTACAAGTGAAAAATTCCTTGTTTAAAATACCTCTTCCCCTTTGTCAATGTTTTATACATTTAATTTTCTTTGCCTAATTTTAATGTTTTCCAATTTTAACATTTTATCTTGAGTGATGATACAAATCATATTCTTGAGCAAATAACAGTTTTGTTTCTAAATCTTACATACTAAAAGGACATATTCAAAGGATTCCATCTAGACCATAGGGGAAAAAAAAATCTCAAAAACAAGCCAAATGTCTATCCTAGGACTTTTTGAAGCTTAAAATTAGAAAAATCACACCTTTACCCTGGGCCTAGTACCATGTGCTGTTTAATCCATTCTTCACTTACCTGGTTCGTATAAAAGAGGCACATGCTTTCATCTGAGTCTCTAGCAACTCTGCTTCTCTCTTCTCTGCCACGCAGTTTTGAATATTTTTCAAAGCTTTCTCATTCTTCTGGTTATTACTACTGCTTGCTTCCATAGAAAACACAGAGCTCTCAGGCAACGTTTCAGGAAAACACAAAAGACAGTCTTTTCCTGAGTGTGGAAAGGAGGATTTGACAGTTTTGTCACTGGAGGTGAAATTGTTCTGTTTCTGAGATGACGCACACAATGTTGACAGAGCTGGCCCCAGATTCAGGTAAGCCTCTGCCAATTTGCCCCAGTTCCAAGGATCAAACGGATGCAAAGAAATTAGTTTCTGTAGGCAGAGAACTGTTTTCTCCAAGTTCGGCAGACTTGAGCAAATAGCCAACTGGAGGTAGAGCACAGTGGTTAAATGGTCTGTGTTAGTTGCTTTATTTTCCTAAGGAGAAAAAACAATTAAAAATTTTATTATTTTTTTAAGATTCTATTTTTAAGCAATCTCTATACGCAGTGTGGGGCCCGAACCCACAACCCTGAGATCAACACTTGTATGCTCCACCGACTCAGCTAGCCAGGTGCCCAAGTGTTAAAAACTTTAAACTGCGGAACATTTTCCATGTAAAAATGGAGATGCCTAAAAACCCAAGTTGTGTATGTTGTAAATCAGACGTATCTTTCAATAGCTACAAGTAGAGACAACTGTTTGAAGCTATAAATCTAGAGAAACACATACTACCGACCAAAATAACCACCAGACACTCCCAAACATCCTGTCATAACCATAGCATAATTCATGTGACAGTGGCCTGACAAAATTCAGCACCCAAATCATAAATGTCAGTTTATCTTCAATTTTTATTGTAATCTTTATTGTCTTAGCCAGACAGCTGAAAGACCCAAGCCAACTTTTGTTTACCCTGGGGTAATGGTTCCATTTTAATATTCCAGGCTTCCTAATAATCCAAATGGCAGTTTCCTTGAGGATTCAAATGGACTCCATTTCCAAATTTGACTTGGCTTAGACATCTTAAACAGGATCGCCCTGAAGCTCTCAGTGCTTCATGAGGCATCATAATTGAATCCAAATGCCGTCCCTGGTAACCATTACCAAGGCCAATTATTTTTGGCCAGAAGGGGTTGCTTGGTTTCCTTCTGATCAGAAAATGCTTTTTCAAGTCTCTTTAACCAGAGCCACCACCTCTTGCCTAACTTGACATATGGCAAAAGCCCTGTGGGTTAGGGAAAACAAGGCTTCTTTTTCTACGTTGGTCTGTGGAGAGCAGATGGCAGACTAAAATTACCTTTCAGTTAATTTTAAGCCTAAAGAAAACCTGGCCTACTAGTATCCAGATCAAGCTCCTGCGCACAACTACAATGGGCGAGAAATGCAAGTAAAACTACCCAGTATGCAGCCTGAAGAAACAGGCCAGTGAGTGAAAGCTTGGGGAGAATCTAAATATTTATATATTAAGTGATAATACAGAAAATAAAGCTCCATGTGACCTATCTGGTGATACTGCACCTTCCCAACGACAGAATACATCTGGTTTTATTCATACTATTGTTTTGTATTCTGTCCTTCCTAACGGACCATTAGATTCCAAAAGGGGTTTTTGTTTTACTTTTTAAAATTCATTTATTTCAACCTCAGTCAGCTCTGACCACACATAAAATTCTTCTCTGAAGTTTTCCCTTCAGAAAACTTCTACAATTTTTTTTTACTTTGTTTTAATTCCAATTAGTTAACATACAGTGTTATGTTAGTTTCAGGTGTACAACATAGTGATTTAACACCTCCATACATGCCCCTCTGCTCATCAAAAGTGCACAAACCTTAATCCCCATCACCAGGTTCACCCATCCCCCACCTCCACTCCCCTCCCCTCTGGTAACCATCAGTTTGTTCTCTATAGTTAAGAATCTGTTTCTTGCCTTTTGACTTCTCTCATTTTTTTTTGTTGTTGTTCATTGCTGAATTCCTAGTACAGAGCATAGCCCCTTGGACATAACACATGTTCAGTAACTAATTAATCTTCATGTCTTTTATTTATAAGGAGAACAACACATACAGATTTTAAGAAATGCTACCTTTCTTCTGCAACTAGTCTATAGTGCTTTATGCTGTTTAATAACATTTCATATCGAGAATGTATGTTGGGGTAGAGGCTGTTACATACAAACCATGATTTTTTTTTTTTTTAAGATTTTATTAATTTATTTGACAGAGAGAGAGCACAAGTAGGCAGAGCGACAGGCAGAGGGAGAGGGAGAAGCAGACTCCCTGCTGAGCAGGGAGCCCAATGCGGGACTCGATCCCAGAACCCTGGGATCATGACCTGAGCCAAAGGCAGACGCTTAACAACTGAGCCACCCAGGTGCCCCCAAACCATAATTTTGATGGGAGGGTTTTTACAGCATAAATAGTAAATAACTCTCTGGAAATTAAATTCCATTTAAATGACTTCGTGTTATTTTTCCAGAATAATGCAACTCCTTCTGAAATGCAATAATGATGACAAGAGTTAATATTTATTGAGTGCGAACATATGCCAGGCACTATTCTAAGCGATTTACTCACTTAATCCTCATGACAATCCTTTAAAATGGATTCCACCATTATCCGCATTTCATCGAAGAGGGAACTGAGTCACAACAGAGAAGTTAGGGAACCTGCCTGAAGTCACACAGCTAGTAAGTAGCAGAGCTACAGTCAGCCATACCAGAAGGCAAAGAATGAAGGGTACTTTAGAAGCGCTGATGCATGCTAGCTGGCTTAGGATTCTCCCTCTAGATGAACAGTGTATGTGCACGGTATGGATATGCTTCATCTGTCACCTTAGCACTGAACCCAGAACCGGGCACATGGTGAGACTGAAATCAATGTTTGTAGAGTGCACACATTTAAAAGAGTCATTTACCGTAGGAAAGCAATGTCCTTAACCACAGCTTATCACATAAGCATATCAGTTACTGTAAGATGTTTCATTATTTAAATAAGAAATAAAATATAAGTAAGTTCTATTACAAATTTTGTCCAAAAATCATGAAGAAGAGAGATGAATTAGAAGTTGTGAGCATAGGGGCACCTGGGTGGCTCAGTCGTTAAGCATCTGCCTTCGGCTCAGGTCGTGATCCCAGGGTCCTGGGATCGAGCCCCGCATCGGGCTCCCTGCTCAGTGGGAAGGCTGCTTCTCCCTCTCCCACTCCCCCTGCTTGTGTTCCCTCTCTCACTGTGTCTCTCTCTGTCAAATAAATAAATAAAATCTTAAAAAAAAAAAAAGAAGTTGTGAGCATAACGTGTTCATATCCCAACAGGCACTCCAGGACGGGCTGTCTATTTTGTTCAGTGCTGTATACCGACCTGACCCCCACAGAACACGAAAGGACGATAACTACCGAGACAAAAACAGAAACAGGACAGAGCTAATAACAAAACAGAAAGGTCTGTAAGTAGGGAAGAAATTTTAAAAATAAAACAAAACCCGGGGTACCAAGCAGTGAGAAACTGCAAAATTGGTAGGCTCCACTGAAATCATGTGAAGAGACTCAAAAAAGGGGGAGACCCACGGGCCTACACTGCTGGTTCCTTCCCCAACAGGGTGCCTAGAAGCCTGATGGGCAGTTCTCAGTCCTGCCAGGGGAGCTGAAGGTCTTCTGACTAGTCCTTCCTCCTGCTTCGTATCATCCCAAGCTCTGGACACCTGGCATCTGCTGATAGGCAACAGATGTTTCTCTGAGCCGCAGAAACAGACTTCCGAAGCTGGAAGGAACCACAGGAATGATCCAGACGCTGACACTGCCACCACCTTCTGTAGGTTAGGCAGGGAGGAGCAGAGCAGTGACGTGCAAGAGATGCCAGGAAGAGAGAGGTGACAAGAGAGCACAGAACAGGAACGAAGGACGGGGGCCTGATGTCTAGAAAAAGGTACCAAAAGGGCCAACGCTGCGGCTAATTTGCAGACCCGGGCGACTGAGAATGAACGCTGTTTACGCTGTTAAACACCAAGTTCACTGTTTGGGCCATGTGCTTCCTGAACAAGGTAATCTTACCTTCCAGCTTGAGAATTGACGCACATTTATTAGAGGGGAGAAAAAGAACAAGACGCAGCTTGTTTTCCACGTCCCAAAGACAATTTCTAAGGTTTGCTCTCACTGCAAGAGGCTGAGGTCGCAGGCAATGAACCCCATCGGCAAGTAAATTTAGGGATTTTTCTTAGTTAATGAGATGGAGGAGGACGGCTCAATTGCATGCATACTTTAGGCTGACCAGCAGCCTGATCTGCAGGGTTCAAGATCAGTGTCTGGGTCCCTCATTAATTCCCTCTGAGGAAGAAAACTGGTCATCTATAAACTAAGACTGGTCAACTTAGACCAATCCTCATATAAAATTTAAACACAGAAAAACCAGAAGTAAATAAAAATGCCTTCATCTGAAAACAAAAACAAGCAGAATCTAGAATTGCAAATAACTGCTTTTCTTTACCCCTTTAAAAAAGGATTCTGCGAATTCCATTTAAGAATAAAAAAGGCTGTTAAGCTTGGCTTAGTATGATATTTAGGGTTTTTTGGGTAATTTTTTTCCTGTTTACAAAAGTAATCCATGTTCATTATAGAAATTTTGGAAAATAAAATCTTAAAAAAAAAAATTTAAAGAGAAAAACATTACTGATGATCCTCCTACTCTGAACACTTACTCTTAACAAGAGTAAAACCTTTTTTTTACAAATGAGATTTTCAGGCAATGAAGAATTTTGAGCATAACACAGGAAAGAAAAAAATATTACAAGAAAATGACTGTCTAGAGCTCCGAACTGTTCATCATTATAAAGTTCTTATACCACTGAAGATTTTCTTCTACTTAAGCAAACCCACAGATTTTGCTGCTAGCAAGTTTTTTTGTTTGTTTGTTTTTTTGTTTTAGAAAACAAACTATTTAACAATCCCAGGAAAGCGAAAGGAATGTAAGCAGTGAAACCACTTACCAAGTTTGTAGCAATCTCCAATGCTTCTGTGTGCCTTCCCAGGTGAACCAGACACCGAACCTGGCCTTCCTGGACATCCCTTTTCATGGCAAAATTCGTAGATGGCAATTTTTCAGAGATACTGGAATACTCTTGCAGTGCTTTCTGCCAATTATTTGTTAAATAAAGGAAATGAAGAGAAGGGATAAAAAGAGAGGCAAAAATAAAGTAAAAGAAAGGATTCAGTTATAGGGATGATTTTTTTCTTGGCAGAATATTATTATAACCGACTCTACAATGAACTGAGGAAGACTTGAGTATTTGTCAGTACTATTTTTCTAAAAGGTAGAAAAGAGATGGCTGGAGAATATAACCACTACTACCATGGGAAACACTGTACAGTAGGAAGAGCATTTTGGAGCCAAACAGACCAGGGTTTGAATCCTGGTTTTGCCACTAACTTGCTATACAACCTTCCTTCTCTCATCAGCAAAATAACAACAACTCTTGTGAAGAAGAAATGAAATTTTATATGTAAAGTGACCTAGTATCTACTTGTTCTCCCCTTTTCTCACACATTTTGGGGTGCTCTGCTCCTGTGACTCCATGGGGCATCTGTGCTAGAGGCTCCCACAGAATGAGGAGATACAGAACCTGGGGAAACAGACCTGCAAGGATCCCCAAAAGATCGCTATATTGTAGGCACAGGAAACAAAACAAGTGATACAGAGCCATGTAGAAAAGGACAGAAACTTGGGATTCTGAGATTACAAACACTTATCACAGAAGATTAAATTCACCCTCACAAACAATACGCTCATAACTAATATGCTATAACTGATAGAACAACAGCCTATTTCAAGTAGTGCAACCTTATATATGTTGAATTCTACCTGATACTCTTGCCGTCTGTAGGCGAGGTCCCCTTTGAATTTCTTCAAAGTTAGAGCTTCAACATCATCATTGCTCTCTGTTTCTTCATAAAACCACTAGAAATTGTGAAAATAGCATATTATAGAGAATTAAGTTATGCTTTTCCCCCTCATACTCAAGTCGAAGCAATTTCCCATTCATAATTGATTAAGCCTCAAAAATTGACATACTTCTGGGACGCCTGGGTGGCTCAGTCGGTTAAGCGTCTGCCTTCGGCTCAGGTCATGATCCCAGCGTCCTGGGATCCGAGCCTCGCATCAGGCTCCCTGCTCAGCCCAGAGCCTGCTTCTCCCTCTGCCTCTGCCCCTCCCCCCAACTCATGTTCTCCCACACTCTGTGCATGTGCTTTCTCTAATAAATAAATCAATAAAATCTTAAAAATATATATATTTCTTTAGGATGAGACTCACAGGAAAACATCCAACAAGAAGAATGACAATTTTAGCGATGGCTCAGTTTTCAAATTGAAATTATCATGAGTAATAAACATACCAATAATAAGAAACCTCTCAACTGAAAAAGCAGCACAGACATACATGGTTCTATCTAGAGCATTTCAAGATGGAGTCGTGGTGCCTGGGAAGCTACATTTTAACTAGCACAGTTCCCATTGCTTCTTTAGACTGAGACAGGTTTCCCTGTAGAGACATTTTTAGAGTGGATGGAACAGGGATTGACAACTCTTTATGGAAAGGACAAAGGAAAAAGGAATTACCTTTGCTTATAGTGCTTTTATGAAAATATCATAAAAGCAAAAAGTAGAATCTAACCAAAGAGATTGAAATTAAGGCCACAAGGAGGTTTCCATTCCAATCAAATGCCAAAGACCTGTAGAAGAGAAGTCTGAGGAAATGCCCATCTGGAATATTTTATTCGCTCTTCTACTGATAGAAAGGAAAGCGAGACTGGGATTTCTCGGTTAGTGAGTAAAGAACATTAAGATGAGAAAACAGGTGTAACAAAAAGCAGTCCGGGGGTGCGGATGCACGGAGGGGCCGAAGTCCAGGCACCTGGGCCTGAGAGGCGCGGGGAGACCCGGAGACTGGGCGCCGGGTGGGGGTGGGGGCGATTGGCGTCCGAGGGAGGGTAGCGAGTGTGGGAGGGCAGGGAGTCCCCGAGTCCCCAGTGTAGCCCGCAACGCAGATGAGCTCGCAGGATTTTCCTTATATGATCGGGGCCCGTTGCTGGCGGCGCCGCTGGCCCGGAGCCTGAGAGGATTATGAAAACGTTTCAGGCGAGGTGTGGCTGGGGACCGGGGCGGGGGAGATGAGGGGCAGCGGACTAGGCTGGAGATGAGGGAGAGTTAGGGAGGTCTCTGCCTCTTTAACTGTGAGCCCTGAACTGTGAGCCCTGGTCGATGATGACGTGACCACTGCGCAATCTGAGTTCTAGGAACCAGGTGATGGAGTGTGTGCTGAGAACTGAGACCGAAAACAAAACAAAACAAAACAAAAAACAAAAAACAGTCCGTGTGCCAGTTTTTCCAGCCTCAAAGTAGTAGGTCAAGCTCCCTTTTACTCACAGTAAAACATACTGAGGCTGAACGTAGTCTATCCCCAGGTAAGTGCTATCAAAACGCAACTGCATTTGTGGTGGTTCTACCATCATGTCAAAATCGCTTGGTTCTATTTCTAAAAGTGTTGCCTGGGTATCACTACCCTCCTATTATCTTAGTAAAAGTTTCTCTCCTTCGCCTGATCCATCACAGCGAAGAAAGCTGGTAACTGCTGTTTTTCTGTTGTCCCTGAAGTACCACGTAAGTCAACAAGTCTATGTCCTGAACCCGTAATTTCCCTTCGTGCTCTACCGCTCTCCAGTCACAATGCCGATCCCAGCTGAACAAGAACTGCCAAACTGCAAACCTTCATGCAATTCTCATGATCCCACTGGGAAATGATCAAGAAAAACTGGCTTTCAAATGATTGTTTCTATTCTCCCACATAATCTGCAGGCCCGCAACCATTTGAACAGGGATGGCTTCAAATCCCCCTTTCTGGTAAGAGAAAGGAGGGAAGAACTGTGAGCAAGGGTGGAACAAAGAGGTGAAGTGCTGGATAAGGCCGACCTCTGTCCCACAGAGACAACAGAAGTCTTCTACCCCAAGCTCCCGGTTTTATACCCAGGGAAATCAACATGACTTGAATAAGGCTTCTTTGAGTTTACGAGCAGCATCATACACCAAACAAATCCTAAAGACAAGTGATCTTTGGATTTTACTTTGTAAGTGTAAGCACATCACACCTGACCAAGTATCTCACCCATTTCACTCCACAGTAACCCTGTGAGCCAGCAAATATTATTTTTCCCAAATTACAAATAAGGAATTAACACCTTGGAAAGCAAGTGGTAAAGCCAACGCTGCAATGCAGGGTCCTATCTCATAACCACGGCTTTTAATGCTGCACACATAACTTCCCAAGTCCATTCCTGGTTTTAGTCTACATGATCAACTACTATACGTAACTTTGAAAGAATGTATGTGATAAGGAGAAAAGATAAGTTAAATAAAACAAACATAATTCAGTAATTACTGAGCACCTGACATCTTTAAGTACAATGGGTTTTTTTTGTTTTTTTTTTTAATTTTACTTATTTATTTGACAGAGGGAGAGAGAGCACAAGCAAGGGGGAGTGGCAGGCAGAGGGAGAAGCAGGCTCCCCGCTGAGCAGAGAGCCCAGGACCCTGGGTCAGAAGGCTGACGCTCAACCGACTGAGCCACCCAGGCGCCCCCTAAGTACAACGGTTTTAAGAAAAAATGAAGACAATACAAATAAAGGAACTTAGCACAGTGCCTGAAACAGGTTAAGTTTCTGATACATAGTATTGTAGTTCTTATACATGAGATGAGATTTACATACATGCAATAACACCAAGTTAATATTCTACCAATTCAAAATATTCACGGAGTTCCTGTTATTAACAAAAACTGCCAGGCACTGGAGGACATAAAGTTAAGCCCCCACTCTCCTGTGATCATTTAGCACTCCGGGTCGAAGAGCTTTAGGTTACTGACAAGTGCTGTAATACAAACTGAATGGCGGGGGGGCGGGGGGGGCACTCCAAGTCAAACATATTTGCTCGGAAGGAGGAATCAGAAAATACTTCCTGGAGGAGGCGGCATTCAAGGTGTGCTCTAAGAAATGGATATAACTGAACGCTGTGACCATGCGAGCGGGGCTGACGTGGGTTGAGAGAATCATTGAACAAGGGCAGGCCCGTGGGTGGGACGTCGCTGTCTGGGGAGCAGAGAAGTTTTGCACAGTGGGCGGTGGCCGGATTTCTGGGGCCCCTGACTGCCCGGCTGCAGATTCAGTGAGGGCGCACAGAGTTACTGAAGATTTCAGGATAGCGAGCCTTGGCGACACCCACCAAACGCCCCGTGCGAGTTAATCGCCAACAGCTCGGGGCCCAGTGGGCCGAGCCCACCGGGTGGGGCTTCGGAAACGTCCCGGCCTCGTGGGGTAGGGGGAAGACAACTGGAGGGGAGGCCTGCGGGGGCGCAGGGTCGGCCGGGCGAGGCGGCGGGCACCGACACCGCGAGGACCTGGGTTCCGTGGGCGGCGGCGCGGGAGCCCGGCGTTTGAAGCGCTCCCCGCCCGGGACCCGCGGAGGCCAGGCCCGGGGTCCGGAGAGAGGCCAGCAAGCCCCGCCCTCTCACCTGCGGCTCGCAGCGCTTGGCGCGGTAGGACGCCGGCGGTCCAGGTCGCCGCTCCCGCCTCTCCTCGAACACCGAGTCCTCGAACTCGCCGCCCAGCAACCAGCACCCGGTCTCCATGGCGCGCTCGCCGCCGGGGATCGGGAGGGGGCGGTGCCTAGAGAGGCGCCCTCGTGCGGGCATACGCAGAAGGGGTGGGGCCGCCAAGGCCAGAGCGCGGCATGCTGGGACTTGTAGTTTGGGGGGGTGGCAAACTGGGATTTGGCCGGCTGCGGGCGTGGAGTCACGGTGGAACTTAGACTTTTATCTGACTCACAAACTGACCGAAGCCGGGGACAGAGTGTTTGACTGCTCCGTTTTAGGAGATAGACCCAGAGGTCTTTACCTGCACGCATCAAAAAGCCTGGCTCCAGGGTAGCTTTTTAAAAATTCCTCCGTGGCACTGTGTTAAGCACATTTTTTGCACTGTGTACCCTCTTCCAACAATTTATGAAAGGCGCAGGGGTTCCCACTTTGCAAATGAAGCTATTGGGGTTTCGAGAGACGTTAAGCAACGTGCTTAGGATCCATTTTTCCGTGACTAAGAGCTGGGAAATACAGAAATCAATCACTAGTCCCCTTGTCTCTAAAAAGAGACACCACCACCACCACCAATAACAAAGACCAGAGAATTCACGCATTTATAGAACGGAGGACAGAATTTACTCTGGATGCTCCATCAAGGACTATTAATTCTACCTGGAGAAAAACACCAAATTCCAGAAGTCTAAAACTAATATTTACTAGAGTTCTTATACATTCCTTGAGACTAGAAAATTGAAATTATTGACAAAATGCTGGTCAATATTGCACAGCACAATATTACTGTGACATATTACACAGCAGGTTTTCCCCCTATTTCTCCTCACTCACCTGTTCCTCTTCCACCATTTGTCGTACAAGTTTCTTTCTCCAACCCAGTCTTCTATTCCACGAACTCATCCTGGGAGAGCATAATCCACTCCCCAAGGTTTCAAAATCCATCTCTCTACTGATCATTCCTCAAATCTAGAACCAGCCTGTGTATCCAATAGCCTTGAGTGGAAGGCTTCTCCAGGGCAGCCTCCAGACATTAGCTACTGATGCATTCATCCATAGAAGGGAGAAGAAGAAGAAGAATTAGAAGGAGGAGGAGGAGGAG